CACTTCCGCCGCCGACGTCGCCATGGCAACGCGGCCTAACTTCCGCCTCGGCGCCGGGGTGGGGGCAGCTGAGTGTTGTTTTAGGGCTCCGGTGGGATTACGGGGCTCGGAGTGGTGCTGTGCGGGCGCTGCAGGGCGTTCTGTGAATCTGCGGGGCGCAGCATGGGCCTGAAGGGTGCTAGGTAGCCCTGGGTGGGGTTTCATAGGCTCTAGGTTGCCTTATGGGACCCTGTGTGGTGCAGCGTGGGCCCTGTGTAGTGTTATGGGGCCTCAGAGGGCGTTGTGTGGGTGCTGGAGGGTCTTACGGGACCCTGTGTGGTGCTTTTTGCATCACCTGTGTTGGCATGCGGTCCTGCATGGTGCTATAGGGTCCTGTGTGATGCTATGCAGGTCCTGGGTGGTGCTGTATGAATCCTGCAGGGTGTTGTGTGCAACCTACAGGTGGCCGTATGGGTCCTGGAAGGTGCTGTGTGAGCGTTGCGAGGAGTTACAAGGGCCTTGAGGGCTGGCGTGTGGGTCTGTGTGGCGTTACGCAGTCCTGAACGCTGTCACGTGGGCCCTGAATGGTGTTATATGGCTTTGGATTGTGTCGTACCACCCTACAAACGGCTCTGGGTGTTGCTGCATCGCTGTGAGCGGTGTTACGTGGTCCAGGATGATGACACAGGGCTGAGGCTGGTGTCAAAAGACCATGGCTGATGCCGTGTGGCCCTGGCCAGCACTGCGTGGCTGTGACCAGTGTCACACAGCGATGGCCTTCGCTCTGCCTGCGACCAGTGTTACAGGGTCGCAGCCAGTGCTACGCGTCACTGGCTTTGGTGGCATCCCAGGGCGGCGGCGTCACACGGCGGCGGCGTCACGTGGCCGTGGCCACAGCCCAGGAAGTTGAAGAAGAAGGGGAAGTTGGTGCTGGGGGTGAGGGGCAGATCAGGGACAAGGGGACGTGGGGTGGCCCCCCCCCGTTACGCTGCAGGCATGTCGCTGCCGTCCGTCTACCAGAACAAGTTTGCTGAGAAGCTGACGATCCTCAACGACAGGGGCAGGGGCGTCCTTGTCCGCATCTACAACATCAAGAAGGTGTGGGGTGGAGCCATGAAGAAATGGAGGCTGCTGGGCTGTGGCGGGGGGTGTGGAAGGGTTTTGGGGGCCCTAATTTTGGGGTATCCCTGCAGAGCTGCTCGGACCCCAAGACGCGGCCGTCCTTCCTCTGTGACAAAGCTATGGAGGCCTCCGTCAAGTTCATCAACAAGAAGTTTCCTAACCTGGACGTGAGGAGCAGCACGGTGAGGGACGCTGCTGCCCCAACCCTGTGTCACATCCACCCCGATTCTTCTTCTGTCTTGTGTCCCTTCTTTGTCCTGCCCCCATGTCGCCCTGCTTTGAGTCGCCCCATTCTGTGTCATCGCTGCTTGGCTTCTCCTCCACCCCCCCCCCCCCATCCCATGTCACCCCATCCTTTTGCGTCCCCGCCGTGTCACCCTACCTGGATCTTCCCTTCTATCCCTTGCAGCAACACCTGGGACCGGTGCACAAGGATAAGGGGGACATCGTCCGTGCGCTGGGACCCTATTACTACTCCTTTGTGGATGTCCTGGAATTCAGGGTGAGCTGGGGGGCAGTGCTGGCATTTCAGACTGGGGGGGGACAGCAGTGACGTGTCATTCTCCTTGTCGTCTCCCTGGCAGGACCACGTCTATGAGTTGCTGAACACCATTGATGCCAACCAGTGCTTCTTTGACATTGTGAGTGACACCCAGGGGGTGCCAGGAGGTCCCCAGGGGAGTTGGAGATGCTCGCAGGGTTTATGGGGTGCACTCTGGGGGGGGGGGTCATTGGTGCAGCCTATGGCTATGGCCATATATCCTCACAGTTTCCTTGTCCCTAGCACGTCAACTATGACTTCACCAAGAGCTACCTGGACCTGATTGTCACCTACGTGTCCCTCATCCTGCTGCTGGCTCGCACCGAGGACCGCCGGCTGCTCATTGGCATGTACCACTGTGCTCACGAGATGAGCCACGGTGCCAGGTGAGCTGGCTGTCCCACTGTGGGCTGTCCCCCCCTGGGGCTGTCACTCAGGACTGTCCCCAACACGTGTGTCACTGTCTCTGCAGCGATTCCAGCTTTGCCCGCCTGGGCCAGATGGTGTTGGAATACGACCACCCCCTGAAGAAGCTGACAGAGGAGTTTGGGCCGCACACCAAGGTGGGCTGGGAGCTCCTGAGGGTTCTGCAAGCCAGCAGGGCTGCGTCCATCCCCTGCACCGCGCCCTGACCCATCCTACGATGTCCCCTGTCCTCCAGGCTGTCACCAGTGCGCTCCTGTCCCTCCATTTCCTCTTTGCACGGAGGAACCAGGGCTGTGAGCAGTGGCGCAGTGACCAACTCCTCAGCCTGCTCAGCACTGCTGGCACCATGCTGAGCCCTGCCAGCTCCGACACCGTGAGTGCCGCCCCTCGGTGGGGACGTTGGGGTGCCACCTCAGGGAGGGGGCGGGAGGGCAGAGCGGTGACACCGACGCCTGCGTCCCCAGATGGCCTGCGAGTACCTGTCCCTGGAGGTGATGGAACGCTGGATCCTGAGTGAGTCCTCGCAGTGCCCACAGATCCCCTCCCCCCCTGTGTGCCAGTGGTGTCTGACTGTTCTCTGACATCTGTGCCCAACAGTGGGATTCCTGGTGTGCCCGGGGGCTCTGGGGACGTCCCCGCAGTGCCTGGAGCTGTGGAGGTTGGCGCTGCAGGGCTCACTCTACGTCACCCTCCTCCGTGACGAGGCCCTACAGATCCACAAGGTCACCGAGGAGCTGCTCAGCAGCCTCAAGGGGTAAACGGCTGCCCCCTGGGTTTGGGGTCTCTAACGGGGGCTCTGCTGGGCACCCAGAGGCTGCCTCGTATGTGGCACTGCCCAGCTGTGTTCCTTTTGCAGCTATGGCAAGCGGGTGGCTGATCTCAAGGAGTGCAAGGAACACGCCGTGGCTCACAGGTCAGGGGGCTCAAAGGGCTGGGGAGGGTCCCAGAGCGCCGGGAGACCCCAAGATATCCCAAAGGTTTGGAAAGACCTGAGGGCTCCCAACACGTCCCAGAGAGCTGAGCGTCGCGGGGGATGGCTGGGATCCCAATCTGTATCGACCCCATAGCACAGCTCCCACCTTTGCCACGTGGTGCCTGCAATATCCCTGCTGGGTGAGCGGGGTGGCCGGAGGGGGGGTGGTGGTGGTGGGGGCTCTGAGCCCCTCTGTGACCCTCCCACAGTGGATCCCTGCACCGGGGTCGGCGGGTTTACCTGCGTGGGGCCGTGCGTGAGCTTGAGGCTCTGCTGGAGGATCAGCCTGGGCTGCTGGGACCCAAGGTGAGCACAAGGGGAAGGGGACAACGTAGGGGGACAGGGAGAGGGGAACGCTGGAGGGGAGGCGGGTGGCCGTGAGGGATGTGATGAGGCACAGGGTGTCAGAGCTCTGCGGTGACATTTCGAGTCTGGGTGCTGCGCTGCGTGTCGGTAGGGCTCAGGGCTGTGGGTGCCAGGCCAGTGGCAGCACCAGGTGCCCTCTGATGGGCCCTGCTGTGCCCAGGCTCTCTTCGTCTTCATGGCACTCTCGTTCTGCCGAGATGAGGTGAGCTGGTTGGTGAGGCACGCTGAGCACGTCACCAAAACCAAGACGCCGGAGGACTTTGCTGACAAGTAAGCGTGGCGCCGGGGGGGGGGGGGGCCGGCGGGCAGCAGGGAGTGAATGTGGGGGGTTTTTGCCCCTGTTCTGATGGGCATCTTGGGCCGCAGCTGTATTGCAGAGATCCTTTTCCTCATGGAGCAGCTGCGGAGCCTGGTGCGGCGGCAGGTCGGCGTGCTGCGGCGTTACCACGTCCAGTACCTGGCCCGCTTCGATGCTCTGGTGCTCAGTGAAATCATCCAGGTACCCCAGAACGCCAAGCCTGGGGCTCTCCCTCTGTGTCCCTCTGTCCTCTGTGGCCTATCCTGGTTGTCCCCTGTCTCTGTCCCTGCAGAACCTCTCTGTGTGCCCCGAGGAGGAGTCCATCATCCTGTCGTCCTTTGTCAGTTCCCTTTCTTCTCTCTCTGACAAGGGAGGTAAGGACCCTGAACCTGCTGTGTGTCCCCAAGGAGTGGTTTTTGTCCTCCTGCCCTCGCAGCCCAGCAACGGCCCTGGAGCTGTTGGGCACCCAGCTGCAATCTCCTGGGGGCAGTGGGGTGACTGGAGGTCCTGGGGGTCCTGTGGGGTGAACGCTGCCACCCCCAGCTGGCATCCACCAGCGTGATGCATCCCAACCTGCACCCCCTGGATCCGTACCTCCCAGTCAGCACAAGCAAGCTGTTGCTCACCCAGCCTTGCCTCCCTCAGCCCCTCCTCATGGCCACGTTTCTGTTTTCCTGCAGTCGATGATAAGGAGCAGTTTGATTTCACACCGCTCCGCCTGGACTGGTTCCGGCTGCAGGTGCCGTCCCCGTCTCAATTCCCATCCCTGTCCTCGCTGCTGTGCCAACCCCTCTCCTGTCTTCCCATCTCAATCCGTGCCCCTATTTCCTTCCCTTCCCTACTGCCGTCCCCAGCCTTGTCCCCATCCCTGCCTTCATTCCCTTCTCCCCATCCTTCACCATTCCACCGCCATCCCTATACCCTCCCATCCCCAGTGCTCCCAGCTGTGCCCTGAGCCCTCTGTCCCTCTAGGCCTACACCAGTGTGGCCAAAGCTGTGCTGCCACTGAGCACCAACCCCGACGTGGGTCGCATCATGAACCTCATCGTCTTCCACACCAAACTGCTCGATTCCCTGGAGGAGCTGCTGGCCGAGGCCTCTGACCTTTCTGATCTGTGGTGAGATCCAGATCCAGAGTTACAGGGGTCGCCTTGGCTGCCTCCCTGCCCCTC